GGGCAGAGCTAAACGCCCACCCTTGGGCCTTGCTGCCCGGGGCCCCACGCTCACCGCTGTGATTCTGCTCATGGCCGGTTCAAGTCAAAATACTGTTTCTGACACCTTGGGCCCACAGCGCACTGGACGCAAAGCCATGGCCTTGCCGTCAAGGAGCATCCAGGCCTCCGTGCAGCCCCCGAGTCCGGCCGCCCTAAAAGGCCAACCTGCAGAGCAAGGCTGGCACGCACTCCCCGCGCTGATACCTTCTCTTAACTGGCTCAACTCGGCCCTCAGAGCCACCCTTCACCCTCCCGCCTCTCCAGCTTCTCTGTGTCCAGCTGGTCCCCTGCCCTGTCTGCCCCCTCTACGTGTCCAGCTGGTCCCCTGCCCTGCTGCCATCATCCTGCCTGGACTCTGCTTCATGAGCATCCCCACTGCCCTGTCCCACTCTGTTTTTACACCACAGCCAGAGCAAGTCTTTTGCAAGGTAAGTCAGACGTGGGCTGAGAACCTCCTGTGGTCCCCCCAGCACCAGCCGGGACCCATCCCTCTGCGTGGCCTTGGGGGCCGTCCCACCTGCCCCTGCCCCGGCCCCGGCCCTTTGCCTGCTCTGGCCCCACTGCACACAGGTGCGACTGCCCGAGGTTCTGCGCTTGCTGGTCCCTCCACCTAGAAAGCTCTTCCCTCAATCACCTCCACACGCCTGGTTCCTCTGACTCAGGGTTCAGCCCAGAGGTCACATTCTCAAAGGGGCCCTAGTGACCACGCAGCCAGGGCAGCCCCACCCACTTGGTACCTCTAATAGGGCCCTTGGTTTTATGATCTTCCTGATGTTTCCTTTCTGGTTGGTTTGCTTTCTTGCTCCTTGTCTGCCTCCCACTACAATGGGGGCCCCCGAGAGCAGTGGCATTCTCTGTCCCCCATGGTCCAGGGCCTGGCACACAGTAGGTGCTTTATAAGCAGTTATTGAATCAATGAATGGACATCCCCCTGGTTTTGTCCAGCTCTGTGGCCATGAAAACAGGATGGTCCCGAAGTAACTTCTTTCCTCTCCAACTCCCCGACTGCAGACCCAGTGGGGACCACCTGCTCCGTGACGCCCCCCGCCGCCCCACCTCCCCGCACTGCTCTCTCCTGGAGCCCCTGCAGCAGCCCAGGCCTCTCCCACAGCGTCTGGACTGAGCCACACACTCCCTGGTGTCATCACATTTCCTTTTCATGTGTACTTATTAATTTTCAGCCCTTAGTGACTCTTAAGCACATCTGTATGTTCACTCAAGTAAATGAATCAATTAGATAAAAGCACCATCTTGGCACAAAGCTTTCCTTCCTGGGTGAGGTGATGTTTCTAAAATGTAGTGTATACAAAGCTGGGAGGCTCCAACCAACCTGCGAGCTTTGGAGATTGAACCAGGAGGGGAGGCCTGAAAGGCCACCGCTGGGCAGCGGGGCTGCTTTGCGGGGACTAGAAACAGGCGCCTCCCGCAGGGGGTCCCGCGATTAACAAAACCTACCCCGAATCAGTTGGCTCCCGTCCATATTCAGTTTCCCCCCATTGCCTCAAAAATGTCATCGGAAAGTTTATTTGCTCACATTTAGGATCAAGACCAGACCCGCCCGCTGCATTCGGTGGATATTTCTGGTCTGCCTTTGAAATTCTATAATAGTTTCCACCCAGAAGGGCTTTAAGGCTTCAAAAGGTTTGGTGCCCGGCACACGGACACCCTTCCTCCCTCCTTTCTGTCCGAGCCCCAGGAAGCCAAATCCTCTTTCCCAGCAGACAGACTGCGGAGGGAAAGGGAAAAGGAGGCTGGGCGTGGTCACGAACGCAGGTTTTCAGGCTCCCGACAGGGCTGTGACCCGACACAGCCCAACCTGTGCGGGGAGGGGTGTCAGCGAGACCCACGGTGCCTTGACGGTGTGTCGTGACTTTGAGCTTGAAGCTCGTGATAACATCTGCAATCCTCTGTGGAAGGAGGGCAGGTCAGGGCTCACACAGGGCGTGGTCTCCTGATGCAGGGAAGTGGCTCCTGAGGGGGGGATGATGGGCTCCTGATGTGAAACCCTCTCCAGGGGGCCTGCCTGCCAGTTTACGGACCAAGACGGCGGCGGAGCTCTGAACGCATCCTGCAGAGCAGCGAGTGGCGGTGGCCGCGCTGTGCTCAGCACCAGCTTCCGGGTGAGGACAGGACAGATTTGGGATTTATTATTAAGGGAGCAAGATGCTGTGACATATGTTATCCTAATAAGTTATGTAGCTTAATAATGATTTTGCAACATAGGCTATAATAAACCTTAAATGTATATGGAATCCAGCTTCCAAAAGACCCAAAGGCATCGCTCAAACACGATGCGTTCAGTCTTCTGTTGTCATAATGAGGAAACAGGAGCAAAGTACCCTGCCCTCCAGAGGATAATCGGCAGTGCTGCAGCCGAGTCGGGGGGATCGGGGACCTGCACGTGGCTTTACAGTTGGGTGTCCACCCCCAGACCCCCCACCCCCAGGCCAGGCTGTGGGCTGGTACCTGTGGTTTCCAGGTTGGGGTAGGAACTCTTGTCTTCATTCTCGTTGGGCTGGAGGTCGTCCATGTTGATCTAGGCAGCCAAGGAGAGAAGGAGGGTCCAGTTAGACAAGGTCCACAGCTTTAGAGGCTTCGGGTAGCCTTGAAATTGCCCCCTAGTCTGGGCTGAGCTGTCGACTCAGAAACACATCCTTTTTCCTTTGCGCGCATCCCTCAGGACACCAGCGGAAGGCTGGCCTTCCTTCTCTCTGCGCCCAGCTCTGCTGTCCACCCTCCCCAGCCCCTTCTTCCCCGCCCTCCCCTGGTGTCTGGCCCGGGAGGACCGTGTCCTCCTCCCCTGGGCCTCGGCCCCTCACCTTGGTGGCAGGAGGGGACCCTCCATCCGCAGTGATGGATTTCAGCTCGATTTTCTCCTCGGTCTCCTCCACGGCCGGCTTCTCCACCGCCTCTTGTCTCTTCTGGGGGCTGGCAGTCCTGGCCGGTCAGCAGGAGGGAAAGGAAAGGGATGTGACCAGATTGATAGGGAGCTGCCCCGTGGCCTGTTGGGGCCCATGCCATGCGGCTCAATCACAGGGGCGCTGGGCCCTGCCCGGCTCTGTCCCCACCCGGCTCTGTCCGGCATTCAGTTGAAGGGTCCAGCTTCTCAGAGGCTCAGTCCCCGTCTAACCCGGGGGAAGGTTCCTGGAGAACCCTGCTCAGTACTCAGCAGAGGTGTGGCCCGTGACAGTCCACGTAGACAAGGACGAAGACAGAGTGGGGCCCTGGCTTGTCTTCTCATGGCTCTTCAGCTGGAGCTGGACCTCTCCCATGAGCGGCTGCCGCCCCCCGCCCTCCCCTCTACTCCCACCACCTCTCATGACCTCCCTTCTCAATAGAGAACCCGCCACCTTCCTGGACAGGTGGGGCAACACAGCACCTTCCCAGAGATGTAATTCACGGTGGTGCCCGCTTAGAGCAATGCCCAGGAATTAGGGGAGAGGCTCAACTCACACAGAGGGCCCCCAACCCGCCCCCGTCCAGGAGGGCCGGCCCGGGGGGGGCGGAGCGTCTCCCGGGCGCCGAGGGCGGGGCCGGCCCGGCGGGGCGGAGCGTCTCCCGGGCGCCGAGGGCGGGGCCGGCCCGGCGGGGCGGGGCGTCCCTCCTGGACGGGGGCGGGGTTACCTGGCCAGTTTCTTCCTCTCCTTCTCCTCTTCCTCCTCCTTCTGGGCCGAGGTGAGGCTCTCGGCGTCAGCCAGGTTGTCCACGGCAATGGCCAAGAACACATTCAGTAGGATATCTGTTTGTGCCCATTCTTAAAGAAAATGACCCTTGGACTTGGGGTTGTGGGTGGGCAGGGGGGCGGGAGGGGGCAGGACACGCGGGCGCGGAGCTCCCCCCGGGGAGGGACCCCGAGCCCCATCACCCCGCTAGCTTCCCGGGGTTTTCTGAGGGGTGGAGGGCAGGCCCGCCGGCAGGCTGGGCCGGGGCCGGGGTGGCCGGCAGCCGGGCCCCGCTCTTCAGCTGTCGGTTTCGAGATGGCCGCCCGTGACTGACACCGTAAGCGGCGCTGCAGCGGGACGGGGTGCAGAGTGGCCGTTACCGCTGCCAGGAGGTGCCCGCTCGCCCTGCCCCTCCCGCCGTGACCGTGTTCAGACAGAGGCCCTGGGAGGGTCCGCCGAGCTCCTAACTGGAGCGGAGTTTGCCCTTTCTTCTCCCCCCACCCCAGACTCGGACGCCGGCACGGTGGGTCAGAGAACTGGATCAGAGCCCGTCCAGCCGAGAGGTTAACGCTGGTCAGGTCCGCCTTCCACCCCAGGCCCCGGAGGGCTCCGGCTCACATGGGGAGCGAGGGCCGCGGCCCCGCAAGGACAGGAGCTGGGCGTGCGTCATCTTGTTCAGCCTCACCCGGCCCGTTAGGTCAGAGGCACTGCTATTTCCACCCCGTTCCCAGGACGCTAGGTGGGCAGCCTTGGGTGTGCCCGAGGCCGCCCGCTGGCCTCTGTGTCCAGATCTTCTGTGATTTACTTTCCGAGCCCCTGTGCACACAACCCGCAGGGACAGGACGGGAAGAGGGGTGCCAGCAGCCCGGGACCCAGGAACCTGCCCGTGGCCTGTCCACTCTGCCTGCGGCTAACATCCCGCAGAGTGGCTTCAGAGGGAGGGACCCTGGCCCGAGAGCAGGGCGACAGGTGAATGTCACTTCTGGGGCGGAGGCTCTGTCCTCCCCGGGCAGGGGCCCTGGGCTGGGGCAGCCAGTGCGCACATCGGGGTCCGAGTGAGTGGTTGCAAGCACAACACCGGGGGTGGGGGGGTGGCTGCTCGTCGGGACGGCGGCGAGGATGTGCTCCTGGAATTGGAGGCTGGGGGACGACTCGCGTCCCCCACCCCCGGCCCCAGGCTCTGGGCTCCCACCCAGACACCTGCACCACTGAGCTGGTCTGGGCTGGACATATTCTCCCAAGCCTGCCCTTCCCTGCTTCCCCTGGGGGGAGGGCCCTGGGTCCCCCCCCAGGTCAGGACCCGTGGGGCACACCTATTGGCATGGAGCTGTAGGCTGAGAGCTGGGGCAGTGGGGGCGGGGTGGGGGGAGGCAGGAGCAAAGGATACAATTTCCACAGATGAAGAGGATGATGAAGTAAATACAGACCAACATCCCTGGAAAAGAGGGGCCGCCATAAGCCATGATCCCATCATACATCACCGAATTCCAGTCCTCCCCGGTCAGGATCTGAATGACACAGTCCCACCAATAAGGGACACAGCGTTAGACCAGCAGCAAACCCGAAACTCCCCTGCCCATCCCCCTGCGAGACACAAACGTCTCACATCTGTCTCTTCCTCCCCCGCCTCCTGCCCCGCTGTCCTCCTCCCAGGGCTCTGAGCTGTGACCCCCGCAAGTCCAGCCCTCAGACAGAGTGCGTGGCCACCGGCACAAATCATCTGATTGACTAGGAGAGCTTCCTGGGCAAAATGCCTCCTACCCCCAGAGACAGTGCTCGGTGGCTGACCCTCGGGTTAAGTCGTCAGGGGGAGCGTGTTCACTAAGGGGCCACAGGTCCCCCGCTTTTGTCCAAACGTGAGGACTCTGGGTACCATCTTTAAGATTTTGGCCAATCCACATATTACCCAGTTTAATCTGTAAATCGATCTACTTTTAAACTTAAGTGCTACTTTAGCTTGGCCCTAAGCCCACATATCCGTGAAGTCTCAAATTCGATGGTAGTCGTATTTTTCTGGGGGCAAGCGTGAAGCGTAGGGGAGAGTCCCGTCCCCCTCCCCTCCCCAGCAAGGGCCGTCCACTTTCCTTTGTTGATATTTTGGGCTTCCATGTAGAATGTATTTGCATAAAGGTTTCCACGGCTAAGAAACAGTTTTTAAGCCGCTTAACTGGATCTTTTTTTTCCCCCAGTGGTCCATCCAACAGCGCAATTTCCTGGGGGTCGGGGTAGGAGAGCTACAGACTGTCCTGGGCTCCTGTGGCCGACCTGTTCTGGCTCTGGCTGCCCCGTGGGAGTGGGCGGGAAGCTCCTTCCTCCCCCGCCCCCGGGCCCCTGGCCCTCCCCACAGAGCACAGTCCCGGCAGAGAAGAGTCCATACCTGAAACACGGTGAGGAGGGACTGGGGGAAGTTATCGAACGTGCTCCTCCGGGTCTGCATCTCATCAAAGTTGAACTTCCCCCCGAAGAGCTGCATGCCCAGGAGGGAGAAGATGATGATGAAAAGAAACAGCAGCAGAAGCAGGGAGGCGATGGAGCGCACAGAGTTCAGCAGGGAAGCCACCAGGTTGCCCAGGGAGTTCCAGTACCTGG